TCAATGTAATCTACATTATATTCATCTACATTTGCCACTCTCCACCCAGGTGTTAAATGGGTACTGGTAGGAATGATTTCCTTGAATGCTGTGAGCGACGAAATTGGCTGCCTAGCAGAGTCGGGGTAATAGTTGGAGCGCCTTGAGCACCATGATTGGTGGATATGTGCACTATACAAATATCCAATATTATTATTATGTACAATTCACCGACATATAGGAAAGCTCCTTTAAAAAGATCTGCAGGATCTATCTCACCTTCATCAAGACATCAAGATACATGATGTCACCTTTGATACTCTGAGGAAAACGCTAGATCAATACCACAACGTGATTCCCTGTCTTCGAAGGAGACAAGATGGTTCACATCTGTCAGATATAGCTAAGCACAGAGATTGATGAAGATGACATGATGCTCCCCAGAATACTTGTCCCTCGGAATGTCGTCACCATCACGCTTCGCGTCCGAATGGTTGTCATTAAATCACTCTAGGTTGGAACCCTAAGCGGCTCCTGGGTCAGAACAATCTGGTAACACTTTCCAAGATTCATGAGCAATGCTCAAAGGGCATCTGTATCGCTACCAACATCTGTATGCTGTATGAACCTATGTTAGTCTCCAGGAATGACACAAGTACCGTAGACTGCACTGGAGGACAATTTGAACTCTTAGGAGGAAGATGTTACCTACTAACCATCAAAAGATCTGCTAGATAATTATGTTAACAATTTGAAATCATGTATTCATTTATTTACAAAGAGGCAAAGAGCAATTACATGTACTCATCAACATCACCTTAGTCCAGGTTCCTCAAATTGTAAACTTTTAACAAGGAGCTCATGCACACAGCACTTGGAAATTGCAATCTGAACCACCTACAGAGAAAGCTAATGTGCTTAGCTTTCAAAACTTTTTTCAATTCTCGCTACCCTAAATAGGTACGAAAATCTCGAAATTCGCGAGACGAGGTAATTTTCACTCTCTCGGGTCGTCACTACAACTTCCGGTATAGAGTCCCATCCCGCTGGCGCTAGCGCCTGTGTTCTCCAATGAGACCAAAATTATTCCAGAAAAAGTATTTGGGATAGCCTTTGGCATAACCATCTGGATCAATCTGCTCCTTATCGAAATGTCTCGAACAAAGCCGCGATTTTTTGGTCAAATTCACTTTGTCCTTGCGGCGAATCAAGCGCAGCCATGTCGCTCGTGTTCCAGCTTCGGTGGGAAATTTCACCCAAGTCACGGCCTTCATCCACCCCCATTTTTCAGGGTTCTTACGCTTGGAATCATGAGCCCAGCACTGTGCAGCCTCACAAAAGAAAACCATCGTCACTGATGTCAAAAGACGCAAAAAACAACGAATGAAATGTTCAAATAAACGTTGAAATATTTGCGAAAAAAAAACAAGACCGAGCAGACGACATATTCGGTGCATACACGTTGTGTGGCGACGGCGTTTTACGTTTGCGCTATCGCGCCTAGTAATATAGCGCCTGCACAGGAAGCTGTAATGTCGAAAAGCTATCCCATAATGCAATGCGCGTTTTCAGGATTTTCCCCGGATCTCGGCAGAATCGCTATTTGGGGTAGCGAGAATTCTTTCTACATTAAGAATAAGAAGGCAAAAAGAGTCTAAAACAAAATATCTTGTTTGTTTGTTTGTTTGATTGATTTTATTTCTGCGTTCAAAAATATACAAATTCAAAGTCAAAGTACAAAATTTCGAACAATAACAAATACAATGAATACAATGTTTACAAAAGTAATTAAATGAAAAATCATGTACAATTATATCATTCGATAAACATGTACGAAGCATATTTTCAATAAATTAGAGAGGTAATTCGGAGTATTGCTGGTAACCTCATGGTTACTGAACTAATATGGTTCAAGCATTGGGAAAAGCTCAATAAATACAATTTAAACATTATGCTTAGATGATTACAATACAAATCTTTGACCACAGTGATGAATAGCATTATGTTCAATGTTTTCATCTTAAGACTTTAATTCAATCTCAAATAATGCATTATTGCGACAATCAATTGATTGATTATTCTCTGACTCTGACTCTTCCATTGGGTGTAATTCTCAGTGGAAAGGGAGGAGTTCAAACTCTGATAATAGGATGGATGAACGTAATTACTGTATTGCCTTTTCTCTTTCCTTTTGTGAACTCTGAAGGTTGTACCTCAAATTAGCATCCCGATTCCCAATGCTGATCTTGTAATAATCATTGACTTATCGTGATGACACTTTGTCAGACAGGGAAGAGATCAATAGCTAATGGCAGTATGGTGCTTTGATTCCAAGTTCCAAGTGGGTGATCTATTCTATAGGATCATTGCTTTCTTAGGATCTGATTCCAATAGCGTTACGGGTGAAGAGTTATCAGAATTTAGAGGATAATCTCCAGTAAATATCTCTAGTTGAACAACTTGTTGAAAAAGGAGGCTAATTTGGTGCTTCTTTTTTTGGTGTGTGTGTGTATTCTTATAAATCTGCTTAATGATGTAAGATTGGGATTTTTAAGCTGAAATGAACTGGAAACCGTTTTCATACAGCTAGATTAACAAAATCCTGTTAATTTGTGGGGTATAAAGCTCAAAATCTCTACTGTATATATATATACACATGTGTGTGTGCATCTCTCTCTCTCTCTCTCTCTCTCTCTCTCTCTCTATATATATATATATATATATATATATATCTGTCTTTCTCTCTCTATCTCTCTCTCTCTCTCTCTCTTTCTCTCTTTGTACCTTCCTTTTCCCTCCCTCCCCCTCTCTCTCACTCCATCCCTACTTTCTTCCCTTCCCCCTTCTCTCTCAATCTCTCTCCCTTTTTCCCTAGCTAGAATTACTTCTCCAACCTATTATCCTTATTATTCCTTAAAGCACTTTCTCTATCCCCCATACTAGTGAAACCCACGATAAAATTTTAGATGAATTGTCTGTTTGTTCCAAGTTGTTATCTATTTTAATTTGTATTAATTCCCTCTGTGTGTCCCGGTTATTACTCATCTCTCTTTTGAATACTAACAGATTTAAAGCTCATCAGAATTTAATGCCCCGATTCACATGAAAACAAAGACACTCACCATCATAAGCTTAAAACCACCATATAACGCTTACTTGCAAAGAGTGTTGTAATTTGGTCTCGATTTGGTCAAACAGAATGAATGAAGCTAGTTAAATCACTGGATTAATGTCTTGTCATTCTTGTCCAAGGAGCTTTATTTGAACTGATTAATATCGATAATCTCCTAATTCTTTAATTCAATACCCGTCTTCTGAAGAAAGAGAAGGCATACACAGTGTCTAGACGACCGACTCCTTTGGGTAATTTATAGGTGGTTTAACCCTTAGCCTACTTTATATAAATACTATCCTGGTAATTCTGGAAAGAATCAGCTTTGGGGGGGGGGACACAAGAACTACCTGTACATCATGACTCATATATACAAAATAATATGCTTTTGAAATAAATAAGCTTCAAATTTGTATTTCAGATTCCTCTAATGTATTTTATGAAATTATAAGAATTAATTATGAAGCTCTGGTTGAGGAGTTACAATTAAGAATCATAGATTCTGCAGTAAAATAAAAAAATATATGATAATATCAAATGAAAAATAACAAGCAAAATATCATTTAGGGGGAGGGGCTTTCTTGATTTGATCATGAAATCAATCCTGTTATCACAACAAAGATTGGAAATCTATTCCTGAGAAAAGTTCCTATTTATCCTGGGGGGTGTTTCATAAAGAGTTTATATAGTTACATATGACTTTACAAACGACTTGTACATGAAGTGCTAGATAGGATGCCCAAACTTTTTTCTGATATTTCCAATAACCTCAATTAAATTATGGCAAAAATATATTTTGCATTAAAAATGTTTGTTATAATAAGAATGTTAATCTACATCTGCACAGTTCAACTTAATAAATAAAAATCAATGATGATTGAGCATCCCATTTGGCTTTTCATATACAAGTCGTTCGTAAAGTCATGCATAACTTTACGAACAGCTTTATGAAACACCCCCCTGGTCAAATTTAATCTCATAATAACAGCCAACTTTAAAAAAGAAAATAAAGGATAAAAGGAAACAGAAGGGATTATCTCGGTCCTATGATGAAACAGCTTCAACCAATAGATACTGATTTTTGTCATTACAAAGTACCATTTCTCGACCTTGAAGAAGCCAGTCTTTCTTCATGTCACTGATTAGACAACCAAATCCTCTAATGGGGGATGAGATTTCTTTACCCCAAGGATGAGAAACATTTTGGTGAAAATACAATGCAGGGGTAAACAGAGGTAAACAGACACCCGTTTCATCTGGATTAATCCCAGAATGTTTGGGCAGTTGCATGACTAATGTGCTTTACATTTAGATGGTTTTCTCTCCAAAACCGCCATGCTCTGTGAGCGAGGCAAGTCAAATAGATCTAGGTATTCCTCCAAAGTACAATCACTGAAGAAGAACGGAGAGGTACAAGTATATAGACAATCATCAAGTCTTGAATGAATTAATTTCATGCAATGGCTCATTAGCTAATTTCAACAGGGGTGGTGAGATTTGTTATGATGTTCATGTACATGTTCTGGTGACAATTGCTCTTCAGTCGGTTTCCTAGACTAACGAAAGTCCTCACTTCACCACTAAACCAAACACTATCCCTAAACCTGAACACACACCAAACAGTATTCACTAATCCTAAATCTCTTCCTCTGATGAAAGGAATCCTGGAACAGATGTCTCAGGAGCAAACTAGGAGTGATCATTGAAAGGGCTTGTGGAAGTTTACTGCAATTCATTTACAATATAAAGGTTTTTTACACGTCCTATCCTAAGGACATGCGGAATACAGAGGACAACCTCCTCCCCTAGCACATAAACTTCAAACAGACAGACCAATGCAGTCATCTTTAATATTCACACAAATGCAGAAGCTTCTTTTTCATCAGCCAACATTGGTTTCAAACGAAGGTAAAAGAAAATAAAGTTGCCTGAAATGGAAAAAAATGAAAATGGAATAGTCAACTTACAGTTTGTAGAGATTCTCCATTCTGGAAAATGATAATTCCGGCAAACTTTGGAGCTTGTTGTTGTTCAGGCGCCTGTGAGAAATAAAACAGAATTAAAGCAGTTAATAAACTATTTATTGCTACTTATTATTGATATGAAAAGCTTTTATCATCTTTATGAAGAGTAGGCTATAATCCAATGTATCAAATATAAAAGCATGTATCAAATCACACAGGGGATTTGGTTTTATTTCATACATTATATTTCATGGACTATATTTGTGGGATATTTTCTAGACTGGGAGTCCAAACCGACTTACAAAATTTTTGAGCATGTGTGTTCCCACATATAAATCTTAAGGGAGTACCCCAAAGGAAAGATCGCAGTCTTCAAAAATAATAATCATTGGCATTCACCTCTGGTTCACACTTGTTTCATGCCACATCAATCTTCGTAAAGAAAGACCTGTGTGTGAGCAGATATGACCAAAAGGATTCCAAACATAGAATTCTTCAGGGGGCATTTTCACCATTTTGTGACAGAACCTGCTCACATTCCTCATGTTTCCATCAACTTTTCTGACATTTAGCGCTGTAAGCGCACCGAAGCCTGGACAAATTTGAAACGTGCCGACCGACCGTTTGGAACTCCTGCAGTCACATAGAGGCTGTTCACACCGGCAGAGATAGCACGCGCTAGACCGCGCTATCTCTGCGGTTTGGAAGGTACAACGTCGTTTCGGTCCACCCAACAGCGAGCCATGGCGAGCCAAAACGGGGTGCCACTGGAGCACCTCTTGGGGGTGGTCCACGAGAGAGAGCGCGGTCTAGCGCGCGTTAGAAAAAAGGGGGTGCTACGATAGACTGCGCTATCTCATTGCAGTGTGAACAGCCTCATAGACTCTTTCATTTTTGATGAGATTTGGTATCGTTTAGCTCCTCCAAACTCCTGAGGATCGCTAATAGCCTCTCCACATGGTGATGTCAAAGATCGTTCCTGCTGACAACTTGCAGGTGGACAATTCACGGGGTTGGCACTGTTTCCCTTTGATCTCGCGTATCATGTGTCGCAGCCAATTTGTAACCTCCCCTCCCTCTCTACCTCCCCTTGCACCAAACGATGATATACCAGGCACAAAATCTACCAAACACGTCAGCACATACATTTACATGGAGGTTCTGATATTACATTTGTTTAATCATTTTTCTCATCTTGTATCACTGGTTACAGGATCGATTCAAATCCTCAAGAAAAACTTCTAAACAAGCAACACGATTGATACCATCAACTGACTTCACTGACGAACAATGCTAATGAAAAGTTTTTTTCCACTTCCAACGTCAACTTCATCTAATTGAAACTCATCTCTACCGGTAGTTCTAAACACTTTTAAAATGGCATAAAAAATGTGGATTTTATGCTCCTGAAGTTTTAATTTTCCTGGTTTAGTAAAAAGCATAAAATGTCCCATTTTTTTCTTTGGATACCCTGTACTAGTATATCGATGTCCCCCCTAGAATTACATCTTCACCCCATCTGGATACTTAACCTGCTTTCAATAGTGGACTTTCATGCAAAGAAACACCTTTGGATTACCTGGAATGGAATCTAGAAGAATATCAAGGACATTCAAGGTTTAACTCTTTATGTCCCTTTGTCCATTAATTATTCATACTTTTTACGATGTATTTGATAACACCAGCAAAAGACAAGTCATTTTTGTCAATGCCATATTCCTCATTAAAAGATAATAAAATGTTTTCTTAAAAATCGAAGAATAGCAACAGACTTGCTAAAGCTCTTTATCCGATGAGTGCGAGATGAAAAGCTTTAATAGGTCTGTATTCGTTAAAAGTGTATGAAACAGAGAAATTACCATCGGGATCAGCAAATATAGACTGAACCGAAGAACTGCTCTCAATTTGAAATGCATAGAATCTCACACTATAAATCCTTGCTTGACATGGAAATGGATTGCAATGAAAACAAAGGCAAGCATTTCATCCATACTGATCACATGACATTAGATTGAATCTGTTTCATGCATGAAATATTTCATAAAAATTGTCATTATTGATTTGTAATGTGTAAAAAAAAGTGGGGGAGGGGCTTTTAATAGCATTTTCACCTAATTCATTCATCGTAACAAATATGCACTGCTAAATTATTCGGTATAACATTCCTCTTTTCCTGAAAGCAGGCATGGCAGTGTGAGCTAAAAGCTTTAACCCTATGTACGACAGCACCAGCTACAGTGTTTGTCTCGAACTGGGGTCAACAGAAATTGTGTGTTATACTATTCACCAATGAAATTGAACTGGTAGAAAGTGATATTGTGCACACATAATTTCATTATTTCACTCTGTTTTCAAAGCAGGAAATTTGATTTTTCTTGGAAATAGCCTTTAGATTGTCAAGTACATAAAAGGCTAAACAAAGTGTCAAAATTTGACACTTTCAGAATAACAACCTACATGTATGAAGTCATCTGCAATCTAAGTAGAAGATGCCAGTCAGGAACTTGTAACAAGGGGAAACTGACAAGTACATGAGTCTTTTCCTTGCTCTAAATTTTATCTTAACATCTCCCCTTCTCCCTACCAATGCTGCTTCGCGACGCTCCTGCCTTCCTTTTCTCTTCTTTCCCTTATAATATTTTATGTATTCTCTCCATTATACTTGCCCCCCCCCCCCCACTTCTGTCTATCTCTCTAACAAGGTGAAAACTACTGATTGCAATACATCTATCTACTTCTCTTAAGCCTTTCACAACTGCCTCTCCCACTCCTGTCCTTGTTTCTGCCTGTAAGGGGTCAACCACATACAGGTATCACCGATAATGATACCTATAACTACAAAATCAGTCTCCTGGACAGAAAAAGCATAAAAAAAAGCATAAGAACCAAGAAAATCTGGGCTGAAGGCTTATTAGCACCAATGAGCTACGGTATGTGAATATCCCATACCCTTTCCACATAAACTTCTCAGGAGCCATTTTATAGTTATCGTAGAAAAAGGGACCAGCCCCTTATTCTTGTCAAACCCTCTTGTGAAATGAACCATTCCCTCCTGAATCTCAAGGAGCTAGGAGATGAAGACCAGAGCACTAGCTCTAGTCATGGGGGCAGCTCTGGGGTGGTATGGTTGGCAACCATACCCAGATGTCCCAATTAACGATGGATTGAAGTAGAATGGCTACTCAAACATACCATGTGCCATTTATCAACTCGTCATTGATTTAAAGAGGTTAATCTTAATTGAAGTTGTTATACAATTCACTTTCCTGCTCAACTGCATTGAAAAGATTACTGGTAACAACCTATGTTATGAATGCATGCTCAAGTAAGATATCTCCCCAAATCAATATGTTTTACAAATATTTGTTATGTCATATTGTTCATATTTCATAATTCATTCCATTTGATGAATTTTTTCATGAAATGTAATCACCTCTTCATGAATTTGTTAAGGTGTAAAAAGGCTGTTTCAATGGTCATATCTTTGAAATTTATAGTCATTCTATACCGGTGGCTTGCATAGAACAGTCTACATCTAACTTAGATAACAAAATTACGTTTATAATTTTGGCAACATGTGACTAAATAAATAAGTGTATACCATGTCATTTGAAAACCTATGGAAACGGATTCAAGTATTAAATCATCATCAATAAAAGCATCAAGACTTTTCAATACATTTTATGATTCATGGAGGATTGATAACAGAAGAAAAATTAAGACAAGTGCAACAAGTCATTCATTGGCATTTTACGATGCATCAGTACGATGCAGTTCACTACATAACGAGCCATGTTATGTCACCGGACACTGATTAACTGATGATACAAATTGCATACAAGTTTTTCCAGGCACCAAAATGTCTACCTGGTAGGCGGGAGGGAGACCTTGATTAATTATATTCAATGTCACTGATGGCATACTATGATAGCAGAAAAAAATTGACAACAGTTTAAGGTCGGGTCTGTATGGAACGCAAATGGGTGGAAAATCAAATTATCTTCTAGGGGGCAAGGGGAAAAAGGGATCATGTTTATCTTTCAACGAACATTCCTGGGATGAGTAACAAGGAATTATCTCCATGTGATTCAAAGTGAACGACCTAAGCGTCGCCTTTTACGGCCGAGTCTCCCATGGCTCCCTCTACCCTCGCTGAGTGGCCTCAGTAACCCCAGTATTTACTCAAAGCGGTCCCCGGTTCCTAACTCAATTTACAAAACGTGGATCTCTCAAAGGGGTTCTCCTAATGAAATTATGCGCTAGATGACTATTGATCGGCGGCCTGCGAGTCACTTCCACGGTTACGTTAATAGCTTCAATGCATGTGTCCATTAACCCAGCCCTGCGAGAAGTCCGCTTTTCCTTTTATCTGCCACGCTGTCTGAGAACAAGAGGTGGTTTGAGACACAGCATGGGTTGCACCAGGCTTTCTTTTTGAGACACTTGCAATCTTACACCTCCGCCTGGTTCGCAAGAAGGCATGAGGCAATCGCTTCCATTTCCCTAGCCTGAATGCACTGTAGTTTTCAACGAAATTGGAAACTTGTGCGAATTTCCGTGACACACAGACCTCTTCGTTTAAGCAAGATGATTCACAAGACAAAGGATGCAGACAATGCCAAAGAATCTCTTTATTATTCGCACCAGAACTTCCCCTTCTCATGCTGTTTAATTTGTAAATTTGATGCACATTTTGGCCTCTCTTTAGAAGCAATGACTCAACCTAAAAATTCAGAGAATTAAAAGACCCTCAGCATACTTGTAGATGTAGGTCAGATGATTCTGTCAGCAGTGACGCAAGAATACACTTAACTACAGCCTTGTGTTAAATGGTTTCTTGTGAATGAGATTTTTAGCTAAACTGTATTGCTACTGCTAGTTTAAATTAATCTAACAATATAAAAATATATAATAATGAACTGATTGAGTGTTGAGATAATAACCAACATTTTATAAGTTGAAAAGGGCATTGAAAGCTTGGGAATCACCAGAGACTGGCATCAGTCCAGAGATACCCTATCCATTGGTGTTCTGCTGTTCATTATTTGCACCAGGGATTTACATATTTGCCGACTGAAGTGCCCCCTTTATCCCCAGTCCTTGAAGCGACAGACACCCATTCTCAATGAAATAGTTCCCTTAATGAGAATTTGCAATTCAATTCCAGCAGAGTGAAAGCTACAAGAACGCCCTAAGTTGCGTTGATGACTTTGTAATACGGACTAGCAATGCAAATCTGCTAAGCGCAGTAAACACGACAGGGTAAACAAGACTCTTTTTATAGTTCTGTTAAGGGTTTCTCTAACACTCCATTGATCTTTCTCTATTTGTTAGCTTCTCTCAATACCCCTTTTCTCCACCCTTCGTTCCCCTAACTGCGGTTAAGCCCACCCTGCAAACTTGCTCCAAAGTTTGTAACCCAAGCACAAGAGCATTGACAGACACTAGAGTACCCTTTGAAAAAGATGTCAACTTCAACTGAAGTGGGAATAGGTTCCTGATGTACATTATTTCCTATATTATTTTTCGTCTCTCCTTTCCCTCCGTAAATTTTTTGAATGGCAGCATGTGTGGATGGGTTTCTCCTTAGGAATGTGAGCTAAATAAACTGCTGTTTCAACAGAGTCTCAGAGACTTTGAAACAAAAAGAAAGTTCAACTTCATCACCTTGAAAGCAGCACTTGAACTGGAAGAAGAAGAACCAACAATGGCATGGCCAGTATTTGGGGGTTGCGGGTGTAACCAAATACACACACATATTCAAATATAACCAACATATCAAAACTCACTGGACTATTAGATTGACATGATAGTTTGGAAAATGGTATTTCATGGCTCTATTTGGGGTAGATCACTTTCAAAAACTACTTGTTTTTAAAATAATATAAAATACACAAAAAACACTATAGAACTATAAAAACATAATTATAGGGTACTCTACTCTGGTAATACATGTACACATATAAGAACATGTACCCATGAAGTCCGAACTTGACTAGACTAGATCTAGATCTAAATCTGGGGTCTATTTCTCTGATTCTTTGTTTTTTTCTTCTTCTTCTTCTTCCAGTAATATAGTACAGTCCGCCGTTGGCGTATTATCGTACCTTGTGTTTGTCAAGTGCCGAGTGTACAGTGCAAGTAAGAAACTGGTATTGTCATATCAGATACAATTTTTTTTGGTCTTTGGCGTTGCAATTGTTTCTCTTCTTTCCTTCGAGATTAGACTAGATTCTAGAATAGTAGAAAGAATACTCTATTTATTTACCCGATTCATTTTTGAAAAGGTATTGATATTTGATTTACCAGTCCAAGGCAATGTCAGTATGGATCAGTCTTTGAGTTTGACAACTTAATGATTTCTATAATCATCTCAACACTATCTGATTTTAAATAGAGAGTTCTTGTTTGACGCCGAGCTTCTCGGCTGATTCCGCACAACAATGGGATGCGATAGGACCGGGATGAGAGTGGAAGATGATGGGTGATCACATGCAGCACAGCCACACGAGACCAGTATGAAATCTCAACACCAAAACGAATACATGGGGCAAAACATTACCTCACCGATCAGAATACTCTCCGTTTCACACAATTAATTTACAGTCTTAAGAGCATTATCATTGATTAATCTCGCAAACTCTCATTTTGTATCAAAAATCTACAATTTAAAAGCAAGTGAATTCGTAAATTTAGCAAACCTGGCAAACAATCCCCCTGTTCAGCTCAGTGAAGTTAGTGAAGAGCTGTATCATGACGTCACAATAAATCTTATTTTAGCGATTGATCCATTTGCGAATCTGAGGGACCCATTTGGATAATAAATCAACTAAACTACGATCATTTCACCGATAAGTAGTTGTATCGATGAAAGTTTTATATCATCAGTTGAATAAATACTTGAAAAACGAATAAAATATCCATAATCTGATGCTAGCAAGACATTTATAGAAATGTAACTGCAAACAGTTAAACACCCCTGTAAAGTAATCGGAATAGTCCAATTAACTTTTCACCAACAGGTGCATTGCTACACAGCGTAGTTCTTTTGAAGAGATGTGAGGATTATATTACAACGATGTGTTTTAAATTTCTATAATTTGTCTCAATAATAGAAGGCATGTTTGATTCGGATTAAAGCCAGCCACAGTGCAATGTTCTGCACTTGAATGAAGAAATGGGTTCTGCGTATCCCTATACATGTAAGCTCATTTGGAACACGAAACACGATTGTTAACAATCAGCAAATTCTCAGTACTTATGATGCACGGACGTGTTCATAATCTTACTCTTTCCGACAAGTATTGGTTCATTTATCTAGGGCCTTCTAGGGTATTTGACAGTGGCGTATCAAGAGCTTGAAAACGGGGAGGGGTGGCAAAAAGCACAGGGACTGTCCCGCGAGTGGCATCTCTCGTTCAAAAACATAAAATATATGTTACTATAAACAATCTTAGAAGGCACTAATTAACACACTTTAACAAACTCACTGTTATGTTCAATACATAAATCAAATACGAAGCAAGTTTACAATCAATCTATAAATCAAACTGTTCAATGTTTACATACTTGTTACCAAATATAATGACTATACTACTGCATCCTCTATTGGCGATTCAGTGAAATTTATCTTTATTCTTTCACCGAAATATGAGGGGGAGAATACCCCGTTTTCAGCATTGTCTACTGGATTGCTTTATTTGATTATCATTGATTATGAAGAGAATTGATCATTCTTTAGGAGGTTAAAGAAATTCATGTAAATTGATAAGATTTTTACGTCGCCGTTTTACGTGCTATATGTAAATCTACATGACTTTGATACTTACATGCGTTCCACAGTGATCAAGTCTGTGAATGCTCCTCTTTCGATGTGAACAATGTAGTTGTTCATAAGGTGTCTAGAATAAGAAAACAACGACAAAGAAACAATTAGAAACGGTGACATAATATCCAAGAAAATGCATTTCATCTATTCCCTCAATTCATCTATTTCATCAAGTAATACGCTATTCTTCCTCTGTTGTACTCATTTTTCGTTCGTTCTCGATGTCTTTCTGTCGTTTTCCATCCTAACTACCTTTTAGAATATTAATTTACACTTTAAAAAACTCTGAGTCTATACATTGCGGAAATCAATAAATATTGTAATCATCGGCATTGCACACAAAAAATCACTTATACGACCGACACCACTGCCGAATAAATCAGTTTTATATTGAAACATAAAAATGATTCAACATGCTTTGTTCTATCGAACATCAAAGAGTCATTTTCAAATCTTAAGACAAAAATAATAAACAAATAGAACCGTAGAAATTAATGATTACAAAAATGTAGGCTATTCAATCTATCATACTTACAATGTACGAAGAGACTGCAGACCATCAAAATCTCTCCTTTGTATTACCGTAATATTGTTTTCACTGAGGTATCTATAAATGTGGAGGAAAGTAAACAAAAAATAACATTAGTTAATTTAGTTTAATCATCATCATTTTCACCTTTGCCATGGAAAGATGATCCCATTTAACATTCGGATACATTAAGGATGTATGGACGGAGTATACTCTTTGACAATGTATGTGTAAAGTAGCATTGTCAATGTTGTAATCAAGTTTTTGTATAATTCGTTGGTTTATTTTAAATGTGTATCAATTCGATGATTGATACCCTCTCCCCCGTCTTTTGAGATATTCAAGTTATTATTCAAAGCGTATATATTATAATTATGTGATATATTATTTTTGATGAAATGTTTACATTCTTTAACTCTTTGGCTCCCACACGAAATACGTATGAATAGCATGTGCGTGTACAAGAATGAACCTACTAGGGCTAATTCGCACCTGCAGCTCAGAAAGGGTTAAACCTTAAAAGGGGGTTATTTTTGTACATGGCTCAAAAAGGGGGAGTGGAAGATGAGTAACATTTCTGTATTTACTGCAAGATGGCAGTTCCGTTCACGGTGCGATGCGTTCATTGTGTTACACACGATCTAGCTCCTCCAAAAGCATCAAGAAAATACAAAGGCAGGGAAAGAGTAGGCAGAAAAGCGATGGGCTTAACCAATTTCTCACTCACCCGATTTTCACACTTTCGTCAAAAATGTAAGATCGACTTTTCACCGTGCGCTAGGTGTTCCGAGTAAACAATCTATGCAAATAGCTCATGGAAATTGCTTTCTTTGTGTTGTTGGGATTTTGGAAACAGTTTCTTTGCTAGATAAATCGTCTTTTCCTTTCGTTTATATATCTCTTTTCATATTTATTTTAGTGGGAAGGTATTGGGAAATCACCGCGCGGTGAAGGTATTGACCTTTGAAGTGGAATGCACCGTTTCGTAATTAGACCGTCCTGAAGAAGAAAAAAGTGTTTCAAGAAGGAAAGATCGTGTTTCGGATTATAAGAAGGAGCAGACTCTTTTCATACCAGCTTTTTAATCTGCAGAGTTTCTGACACCCGGCAGTGTTATGTACTGTTACTTAACCGACCACCGCCCATATTTACAAATAACAACGAAATAGGAAACAATCTGTTCAATTGGGCGTGGATTTAATTCTGTATTTCAAAGTTTCAGATCTCCTCAAAATCTGTAGAGAGCAAATCCTTCACATGGATTAGCTTGTGTATATCTGCCCTGGCTTAACATTTTAATCAACTAAGCAACATGATCGAATAGTTATGGGCCTGAATAAAGGCATAATTGATTTTCACAAATTGCTTTTCATCTACAGGTTCAAAGAAAAACCAATCAGTAACAAAAATGATAATTTCCGCCGAGTGCATCCCACACAATGGACTAGATAATCGACGTAATATATAACACGCATACTGTCATTTCGTTTGAAATCGCAATAACGTGATACGATTTTGGGTTGAGGATGGTTGTATGTGTGAGTGACCTAGCTGGGCTCAGTCATGTTGCAGTGATAACATGAGTGTTTATTTCAAGGCACTGCTTTGCTTGCAGGAAGGTCAATATTTAGGGAATGTCTCCCAATTTAACCCCTGCCCTGCCATCGAGAGAGGGAGAGAAAGAGGGAGGGGATACGGAGAAACAGAGAGAGAGATACAGAGACAGACAGACAGACAGAGAAACAGAGAGAGAGAGAGATGGGAGGGGTGAGGGAATTTGAGACTTTCACCATATCGTAGAGACGGAAAGGGAGAGAAAAATAGGATCGAGAACAACAGAAAAAGGCAAAAACAAAAGAAAAATGGGATACTTAGAGAGAGTGAGATGTAAATAGACACAACGAGGGAAAATAAGAGAGGGGGAAGTGTACGTGCGTGTGTGTGCATTGTTTGTGAGAGAAAGAGAGAGAAATAGAGAGAGAGAGAAAAAAAACAGACAGAGACAGAGAGACAGAGAGAGAGGGAGAGAGAAAGAGGAGGAGGAGAGAGAAAGAGGAGGAGGTGAGATAGAGAGAGGAGGTGAGATAGAGGGGGAGGATAAGGAAAACAAGGTGGAGAAATAGACAGATAAACAGGGAGCCTGGTATACGGATGGCAAAGACACAGAGAAGGGAAGAGTTGCAAAAGAAGGGACAGGTGGATACTAGAATGAAAAGTTTGACAGAAAAATGAGAGAGACATCTAAAGGAGAAGAAAGAGAAAGATGACACCAAAAAAAATCGAACAATGAGCCTTCAGACATGGAGTAATGGTATCTTGTCTTGAACATACCTGTTGTTTATAATGCTCTAACTGTCACATACCAACTACAGTGTATTCTATCGGGTTTCATTCAACATCTTTCATCATTTTTTATTTTTGTAAGCCTTAAAACTTTGCCTTTCAGTGAAACAACAACAAAAAGGGAGTTGTATCTGTTATTTCCGGTATTCTGCTTGTTTACCTGTACGGGCAGGAATGCTGACACACTAACCCCCCCCCCCCCCCTCCCCCTCCCCCCCCCCCCCCACACACACACACACATTTCTTATCCTGTGTCGTGTTTTACAAAGCCTCTTTGATACTGTGGTATGAATAATGAAATGTAATAAATCACACGAGTTCATAATGGACTAGTACCAATTTCACATAGACTTAAACATAAATGTCCTCGTATAGATTAGCTATCGGGTTTCATCCCAACCTGAAAAGTTTATAAATAAATGTGTAGAATACCTTACATTTGACTGAACAAATTGAAATACATCTGCCTGCCACTATCAGTACATGTAGACTATCACGGGATTAATCAATTTTACAATTTAATTGATTAAAAAACGCAAAGGATTTGAGGCTATAAACATGCCCTTCACGCCCCCGTCAGATGCTATACATCTTTCACATGTATTGTTCACTATACTACTGGCCATGTTGGCCGTCGATAAGTTTTAACTCGTTTTTTTTGTCAAAGTAAACAGGCATTGATCGCTTCTTCACATCATTAAATCGCTATACTTCACTTTGAAAGGGGGTGTCAACTACGGTTTTCTTCACGACACAATAAGGGATTATTGCTTTCGAGAAGACCTTTAACGGTTGACAAGAGATATAAAAAAAAAAAAAAGCAAGGAGCGTTATTACGGCACGACGTTTTAAAGATACCTCATAATTGGCACATGCTCGGGCCAGAATTGCTCTATGGCCACTTTCCTTCAATAAACGATATCCTAACCTAACCCTAGTCCTAACCCTAATATCACCTCACATTAAACCCTAAGCCTAACTAGTAACTTCATACTGTATCTTTAACGAAATAAAGCCTTGAGCAAAATATCGGTTCGCTATGGTGGTAATAGGCAGATGTACGGTTTGAAAAGATGGAGAAAGAAACCGAGGAATGCTCATTGAAGCGCATTCAAGACTTCGGAGGAGGAAGTTGGAAAGTTTGAAAAACTCAAAGCAGTTTCTTTATGAAACAACATATTTTGATACGTCGACAGATTTCATCTGACTGTGCAAACAGCCTGGTGTGTGCAAAGGCGTAATATCAATTGAATATAGACATTATACTATATACGATTAACCGAGCAGATATCATTACAGTATATTAGTACCATACATCATGATATCGTATATAACTTGTGTCAAAACATTTTTTAAGCATGACTCAAACTGAGCCAGAAATTATATTTTCAGTAATATTTTTCAAATGAATTGAGCTTTAAATGAGTATTTGCGGCTAAATCTGAACAGTAATACTAATTTTACTTTTCTATATTTTGTAACAAAGTAAAAGTGAATGATTCTTCATTTAATACACATCTTGTTATTGTTATAACTGCGCTCATACGGGACACATAATCAAAATATGATGAAATCCGTTCATTTGGCGATAATAATTTATATACCTTTAAAGTTTAAACTGTCACAGGTTTGTAGCGTGTTGTGGTATATGTTTCCCATCGTTTGATCAAATAATTGCCATGTTGGGAGGATGCTATACACCAATTAATTGCTTTATCATGTTCCAAACTCAAGCGCGATCATGTGTGAAAGTCATGAATCCCCATGGCAACGGAAGGTGGAACCACCTTAGCTTCCTCCGTAGCGGGACCAAGCTCACGATAAACACTGATAAATGACTGCAATTTGGAACTCTGTTCCCAAAATATGGAAGTACTCTATAAACAGATCGAGGTTATTCAATCAAGCGTGGGTATTGCGATAATTTGTAGGTTATTAACATACAATTCATGTACCTTTGCGTTTCATGTGTTCCTTTCTTAATCAGTGATATCACTGAAAATCGGTATATTGGTGTAGGTTGTATTTTGGTGCATGTGGTATATAGGCGACCTTTGTGGTATAGTGACGAGAACCTTTGACTCTCACGCTAGAGGTAATGGATTTGACCCTGTGCTCAGTGCGTACATCATTGGACAGTGTGTTTTATCCACGCTTGCCTCTCTCCATCCAGGAGTATCAAATGGGTACTTGACATTGCTTGGATGATGAGAATTTAACAGAGCCATCGGGAAGGGTATAGTATCGGTACTTATGAGGCTAACCTTGGTATACATTATTTAAAAACAGGGTACGTCTGAGATTTGGGACATAGTTTGAAAGGTACAGTCAAACCTGTCTATAGCGAGGAGTTAGCGACTGCCCAACGGAAATACAAAAAGTGGTCTTTGTAGACAGGTTCCTTTAGTAAATGTTGCAATGAGAAACCATTTTCAAGGGAAACAAAAACTGGAGTCTTTGTAGACAGGTGGTCACTAAATCAGGTTTGACTGTAGTACCGAATTATACGTGTAAGGGCAAAATATCGTTTCGCATCAGAGAGTAAATTTACCATAACCTCTAGAACTAAAATTAGATTATGCTTTATAAAATTGAAACTGGCCTAGACCTGATATCTTGACGTATGTTATTTGGGTCAAATGCACATTATCGAAACATTAATTGTCAATCTCAATTTCCTATATTTTATTTTGATATGTAAGACTTTTTTATACTGGAAATAATAATATTTATCATAAACTACTATAATAAATACAATATGAATTCGTAGTAGTAGGCAATATTTAAACAGTATATTTGTTGAGAGTGGATGGCAAACTGCGTTTTTTTTACACCATGAGAAAATAACTTTGTACATCCGCCTGAAAAATACGAAATCGGTGAACCGACTCGCAGCTCATTTTGTCTACCTCATAAGATCTCATCCGTTCCATAAAATTATATTTGCATAGTTCTGCTACCTTGGACACATCCAGTCACCATTTCTAATATTTGTTTTCATCTGAATCGCCCCTTTTTGTCAGGTTCAGGATAATTACTGCAGTATTGCATGACGTTTCGATAATCGCTTTTGTAATGTTTTTCTTTTTCAAACGTTGTGGTTTTTGGAAGTCTTTGATTTGGTAAACGATTGGGAGGTGGTGCATGACTTGGCAATTCGGCAAAGAGGGGACGCCTTTTCAAGGCAAGCACGACATTTTGAGGTTAACTTAAATTGAACAAAGTTTAGACGTCGTGATCTACATCGCAGCCATTGGCAAAATAATTCATTGATGTATTTGCGAATGATACGTGAATGCTAAAATATACTCTGCCAGTCTTTTTAGTGAATATACTTTTATGACTTTCTGGTTATTCATGCATGCCTCATGTTACATTTTTATCGACTGTACATCTACTTTTTAAGGACAAAATAATATATGTTCGAAAAAGTAGGATTCTAAAGTCAGTCGTCCCTGTTCGTCGTTGAAATAACCAAACAAAATAGCCATAACATGAATGTCGTTTACTGATTTATAGCCATCTTTCTCAGACTCACGTTTATCTTATTTAAAGAAACATGACAACTTTTACACGATAATGCAATCGTTACTTTATAATGCATAACTTAATTATTTAGAAAAGTGAACTTATCATCGTGACGTTAAATATAACTTAAAATAAGACAATCAAAACAATACCAAATTGATATATAAATAAACTTTTCTAGTGATTCTATTGATACCTTCAAACTTTAGTCAAGAATTGATCATGAGCTCACATAACTTTATATTTCATTTGAAGTAACAATCTATCAATAACGGTTTCATATACTGCCTTTCTCTGATGTACATTAACGAACATTCAAGATCCTTATTCAAATGGTGATAACGTTGTAACTTCGTGGAGATTTTTGAATTTGGTTTTGTGTCTTTAACTGGTCTGGTACTGATGAAATGAAATGAGAGAATTAGTGGATGAAACACCCTCGTTGTATTTGTCAGCAAAACTACTCTTTGAGTACAAAAAGAGACAAACAGGCGATAATATTAACACTAACAGAGAAATGTATACGTTAATTACGTTGTATATTATGACAGTTGCCCCATATTATGATCGTGCCTTTTTAAAGCGCCCGTTTTGAAGGATGCTATATAAATAAAAACTAAGGCTTATGTTTTTTTCTATATGGTGAAATACATTATTTGATTTGAGTCACGCTTGAATTCAAATAACTGTTTCAAGCCCCATGTTTATCGACCTTCACCTTAGCATTACCCTAATACATACACGATGTATTATGCATTCGCAGCTCATAACATGGCTAACAACTACCGTACAAAACGTTGGGCATAAAAATTTACTTTCCACCAATTTCAATTCATGAAAAACCTTGAAAATTTCCTTTCATCCAATTGTAATCTTTCTCTCCCCCTATTGTTGGCAGGATCCAATTCAACAATCAACTTGAAAGACGAAGAGAGAGACCCACCGCCTTTTTTTATGCTTGAGAATTTGACGAAGATATATTGTGCGAACTTTTGCCGATTCTTTTTATCCCTTTTATAGGAGGTCCTTGTATTCGAATGATGCATATTTGTAATGAAAACAAAGTTTTGTTTGTCGGCACACATCACAAACACCAAAACAACGCATAAGAAAAGAGACCAATCTTATTCACTCTCCCATGCTATTTCTTTCTTCTGGCTGTTTTCTAATATGTTTAGTGCACTGGCTCTTGGTTCATTTATGGTTAAAGCTCAATTTTCCACTCAAGAACGAGGACCGATACAAATCAATAACACGTTTTATCGCATCAAATCCTTTTCAGTGGATCAAAGCTGGCCGAATTTGAAGACCTTCCCTGTAGATGTAAGAAAGAAACCATACCTCTAGATGTTCTTTAAAGTGATTTATTGCTAATTGCATCGCTTCTAACGCCGTAGTAATGCACAGGTATAACGACCAAGTTCAAATACCTCTGCAATAATCAGAAAATTTAATCAATAAAGATATGACATTTATTACTTCAATTATTGCAATAAAAATATACTTAAAATGTTAATTGCAGTACATGTACTTTATTGCTTATACCAGCATTGTATATCAAACTTTGAATGCAAAATATGATCGATATCGCAATGTAAGGGATTGGTGTGTGTGTATTTTTTTATTTTTTATTACAGGATCACCTTACGGACCACTCAACCCGTTAGAGGTTATTTGATATGTTGGTAGGCACTGATGGAAAGGAGTTAATCAACTTTTCATTCGGCTTGTTTATTTTGAGAAAGGAGAATGTTGTTCATGATCTCATCTTTCCAGTGATGCAGTTTGTCTTTGTATTGTATTATGCCAAGGATGATCAATAATGTTGTGGTTTACACGACTGGCTTTACTTTCTATTTCCTGACGCGAAAAGGGAAACGAATAATAGATGGTCCCGTACAACAAGCAACTAATTCATAAAACAATGTGATATTACCATTGCAAGTTATAAATGTACTGTTGCAAAAAGTTTCAGTAGAAGAAAAAAACTTTTATTTCGACATAAAAGTATACGTCGACGTACATGATTGTATGTGATCATTGTGTTATACCAATGAGGTACCTCCTTGGTTATACCACTACCAGTACCACGACCAGAATTATAAGTAGGAGGAGGAAGGTTAAGAGGTATGTAGTAGTATCAGCAGCAGTATAAGTAGTAGTAGTAGTAGTAGTAGTAGTAGTAGTAGTAGTAGTAGTAGTAGTAGTAGCAGAATAAGTAGTATTAGTAGTAGAAGAAATAGTAGTAGTAGTAGCAGTAGTAGTAGTAGTAGTAGCAAAAAACAGTAGTAGTAGAAATATTATTAGTATTATTAGTAGCAGCAGCAGAAGAAGTAGTAGTACTAGTAGTAGTAGTAGCAGTAGTAGTAGTAGTAGTAGTAGTAGTAGTAGTAGTAGTGGTGGTGGTGGTGGTGGTGTTAGCACAATATCAGTATTAGTAGTAGCAGTAGTATTATTAATAGTAGTAGTAGTAGTAGTAGTATTAGTAGTAGTAGTAGTAGTAGTAGTAGTAGAAAAATTAGTAGTAGAAGTAATAGTACTAGTAGTAGAAGTAGTAGTAGTAGTAGCAGTAGTAGAAGGAGTAGTAGTAAAACTAAAGTAATGTTTTTTGTTGTAGTAAACCTAGTAATAGTAGTAGCAGTAGTAGAAGTAGTAGCAGTAGAAGTAGTAGTAGTGCTAGTAGTACTAGTAGTAGTAGTAGTAGTAGTAGTAGTAGTAGTAGTAGTAGTAGTAGTAGTAGTGGTGGTAATATTGTTAGCACAATAGCAGTAGTAGTAGTAGTAGTAGTAGTAGTAGTAGTAGTAGTAAAGTAGTATTAGTAATCGTATTTTTGTAGGCTAGTACTAGCAGTAGTAGTGGTAGTCACAGTAGTATACGCTAATTAGATCTTACTGCAGTATGATGACCAACGGTGACACATGTAGAAAGATAAATTTATATAAAGTCGACAGTTAAACTATATATTTACTTACAATCTTTCTGTTCCTGGTGGTATTCCTCGGGGCACCTCATGAAGCCCCCTATCTCGACAATTGACGGTGGTTCCATAGCAATTACATAGTCTTGGGCATTCACCATCACCAATGCCTTGAGCACAAGAAGTGCGAAGCGCCACTAAAACAATTCCAAACACAAAAATCTTCATCTTGCCTTCGAAGTATATCTATGTTTCCTGCGTATATATTCACATGTATAATATCCAAGGGGGTCCTTGCGTATTGAAGAAGCGAGGAACAATAAATAACGACGTTTCGTTTAAAAATCCGTTCTCCTCATTCTGTGTTTTGTGCGGTAAGTGAAATATCCACAAATGCCTAATCGTAAAGATCACAAAACAAGGATGTTTTATGAGGGATTAGGCTAAAATGAAGGGGGGTATATATAATTCCTGGAGTGCCGACGCCACTCCTGTCTTTGGTTGACCACTGTCGTAATCCACCAAGTTTTACTTGTCGCCTGATGGGCGTACCAGCAACCACCACATCCCTCCTATAAAAGCGTAGACAAGCGAACCCTTAAAAGTTTCCACTCGCCACTCGATCGGTGACGGTATACTTGGGTTTCCAAAAGTATTTCAAAAGAGTGATGACACGAACAAGAATCAATTATCCCTTGAAAAAATATCACAATACTGAGGATTGATAACAATATACCATGATTAGGCGATCCTTGAAGTCAAATAAGCTCCAACCCAAACTTGGCATCCAATATTTCCGATGCTGACAAGTTTAAGATAAGCCAAACTGCGACGGCTGTCCTCCAAAAGAGGTGCAGAAGAAGAAGCAAATCGAGGCTAAAGATGGAAAGTCCATTCACAATCGAACTTTTGTGGAACTTTTGAGGCTTTGCTTTTTGTGGCGACGGGGAGATGATCAACCTTTGCTTATCCAACTAATCGGCCGCCGAACCACTGCGGCTTCCCTTTAGACAAACAGCCACAATAAAAAAAGACCCTATGACGCTAAAGTTGGATGTGTGTATGTAGACACGGCTAACCCTCGCCTATTCGCTCGGGTTGGAAGTTAGAGAGGGGACCGCTCGTAAGGCTTCGCTAGAGATAACTGTATGCTTACGGACGCAGCAAGAGAGAGCGGGCTTTAGCTTCGCCGAGTCTCACTGTTCTGGTGTAAGTGTGCGATGTTTTCAACACAACCCCATTCGATTCACATTCTGCAGTGTTCTAACTGTACGACGCCACGAGCGGCGAGAGAGCGCGCTACAATGTAAAGAGTCACAATTCAATTAGTTTTTCGTGCTATTGGGTCCTTTAATTTGAAATGGCCTATGTCTCAAGCAACGTCACTTTAATAAATGTCATCAACTTCTAGTTGATGGCTCAATATCAGTTATATTGTTTTGTTCAAATTTCCATACCATTCTGTCCCATTGTCCGTCATCTTCATTATAAGTTCTCTTACCAAGCGGAAATGGAGCGATGACGTCATCAAATCAAGTTTTGTTAAACCAATAATATTGTTCCCATTTCTTAGAATCATCATTGACTGATATTACAATGGGCATTTTTCAGACATGATTAATGGCCTAAGAATGAATACATATTCTGTTTACTCGTATTATTTTTTAATTTGCCATAAATTTATGAAAAACGTGAAAGACCAATGACCTATATCAGAAACATGTAACATTAAAGTACTCTTTCCTTTTCCTGCTTGAGCGGTCCCGGGAGGGTTAAGAACAGTATTTAGCATAGAGGTTTGGACACACTTTCGTATGGATTGGGGGTGACGCCTCCAAATATAAACTCTCAAGACAGCAAATTTTGCAAGCGAGCAGAGCAAGCGAGTCAACACGTTGAAACTTTTTTCTTTTTACTGTCAATCCTAATTTTGTCATAACTTTTTTTTTATTCGTATGACGATTTGTCATCACTTGCTGACAGCTGCCCTAACGCAATTTCTTTCGGTGATAGGGGTGAACAGAAGTTGCTTAATTAAATGGTCGCCCTTGATATGCTTTCTCAAGTCCGACTGTCAAAGCATAAATGCTCATTATAAACATACAATGTGCTTTATTTCTCACAAACCTAATGTCAAATAGACGGAATCAATAACATACCAAAAACAAACCTTCTGGCCAAATTTTGTCGATTTAGCGGTGGGTTTGGGGTCGGTTTGACCATGGTTTGACGGTGTGGTTGTGGTGTTTGCTCGAATAATAAGAGTTTCGCATGACATATACATACATTCTTTTCATATTCTTGTATTCACATGCCCAATCTTAAAGGTTTATATAATGTATCTCCATGTGTGCCGACCCCAAAACAGAACCGAGCGATCCTTATGGCAACATTTTGTCGATTTAGCGGTGGGTTTGGAGTCAGTTTTATGACGGTGTGGCTGTGGTAATAATCTGTTCAAGAAACAAATTGATGAAATGAAACCTGCATGTAAAGACCACTCAAGTGAGACAAGAAAAGCGGTCTTTGTTGGAAGGTGGTTCCCCTAATACACGTTTCACCGTGGGGAGGTGTTCAAGGGAAACATCATTGTGATCTCTATTAAAACAAAATTGTATTTCTCTACACGTGAAGCAGGTTTAACTGTCTTCCATATCTGCAGGTCAAATTGTTATAGCGTATTTATTTAATTACTTCGGATAATAAGAGTTTCGCATAACATACATGGAGTTCTTTTCATATTCGTGTATTCACATGCCCAATCTTAAAGGTTTGTATATATGTATCTCCATGCCCCCCTCCCATCTTTGTATTCATTCGTATGTGTACAAATTAGTGACGTCTTCCATTAAATAATTAACATTGCTTCAACATTGCTTCATCAATACCAATTTAAAGTGGTGAATTTAAGTCCGAATCCATCCCAATTAATCCAAGTATTCAAGGGATGTGTCTTTTCACAACCCCGCATGTCTGACTACCCCCCTCATTAATTTATCCCGGTCTTTGAAAGAAACAACCCTATAGTACCCTTTGCTGTCACTCTCCCTCTATGTAAACTCAAAAAGCAATTGATACTTCACCCTGGACGCCTTTATATAACTGATCCAACGATCCCGAACAATCCTAATCAATATCTGCTATCGAGCGGACGTGATAAAAAAGGGGATTCATTAGCTTCAAAAGGGACCCCGAAAAACTCGGTGTAATTACCGTCATCATACATCCCCTTTACACCAGTATCAAGCTGCATGGTCTTGATACTGTAGCTTGTCTACGTTTTTAATGGGCTGCCTTACATGGGTCATAAACAAAAGTGGATGGGGAGTCGGGAGGAGGGAGGAGGGGGGTGGCGGTTGGAGAAACTGGCGTGATGTTTTAGCAGACGACATTTGAAATGTACATCGCGCGGGAAAGCACGGGTAATGGATTGCTTTGGCGCCTGTCTCCTTCTCACGACACTCCAGTTTTAATGAAGCAGACAGTTATGGACTGCTGTGGACAGGATGATTGAAATGGACAAGAAAAGTGTTAATCGCAAGACGACTCTTGTCTATAAAATGGCGGCACATTTTAAGCACCACACTGTGCGTACAAATCCTTTACACACATAACTAACGTGAAGTAAAGGTTATTTTACATGTGTTTGTTTACATTGACATATATATTGCAAAAGATATATATGAATATAAACTTGTATACATTCATTTAATATTACAATGAAATATATATGATCCTCGCGTAAAAGAGAGATGAAATAACAGGCAAACCACAGACCTCGATATCTGCACATAATATTGCACAGTTCTATCGAGGAACTATCCAGCATTATAGAATACCAACATGAAAACATTTAGAAAACTAAACCACTTAGAGGAATATGTTTCGGAGATAACATACTCCCTCATCAGCAAAAATTTCAAAAGAGTTTTCCTCTGTTATCTTGTAACTTTGGCTGAAGATGGAGTGTGTTATTTCTCCGAAATAAGTACTGTTCCTTTAAAGTATTAAGTGTTTGTCGTTTCCCTTCATATCCAAATTACTAGTGTCTCGTCCAGTTGGAAAGGTAAAATATCAATCAGGAAAGAAGCGTTATTTCTCAAGCAGCGTGACCAATAATGATGGGATGTATTTTTTACTAAAGAAATATTTATCTACGTAGTAAATAAAATGAATTCGTATGGAGTAATAATTAAAAACCCCATCTAATCCAATATTTGTATCATCTATAACTATAAGGGGTATTTCCATGGTCATAAGTCAACGACATTTCGTTTTCTGTTGTTTGCGAAACGCGTTGAACTGAATAATTTGACGCCATTCTTAAAGGCCTATAAAAATGTGATGTACAATTCAAGCAGACCATTAAATTAACCATGGGTTTAATACGGTCTTTTGTGTCTTGTTGTGTACGCCATGACTCTGGGCATGCTTTCATTCTCCCCCTCGCTGTCTGTCTCTTTCTCGTGCCCGAAAACGTCTCGTAAAGGGTTTATGGGCGACCGTAAGTCTAATCATTACTCCGCTTCTTTTATTTCCCTTTCAAACACCACTCCAGGGGAACTCTTTCTCCATCTCGGCGCGTGGATAGCCCGGAGAATGGCTCGCTTCCAGCTCTTCCTCGGCCTCTGAAGAAACAAATCTATTAATAACCGATGGACTTTAATACCAATTGTTGTCCCCAGCCCCTCAATATTTATTGTTCTGCTTCAACTTGTACACGCTAAACACCCCTTAATATGACCCGCACGATGAATGGAACCAATTATTTTTCGGCGAAGTACAGTTTTGGAGGTAGGAGGAAAATAAAAGAATAATACAGCCCATCGTTCTGTCGGTTTTTCAAGTCGACCGCCCCTACATACAGTACACATTCTTGGTGTATTGTGTGTACAGGATAATCCGTAAATCGATGGTGTGTAGTAAATGATTAATAGTGTCTAAAATAGATTCATTCACCTCTTGGAGAAAGAGATGATGATAATGTGTTGATGGTGATGATGAAATGATGATGATGATGATAATGATGATAGTCGTAATGGTTAAACATTACTGACCTGAAGTAACCTTATTCGTGACGATAGGCGGAATTGGAATGAAATTGGCATAGTGGAAAAGAATACGAGGAATCATTTTTTAAAGAATAAAACATTGATAATAAAAAGAGAAAAATAATCCTTATGTTTGGTTCGATTGATTTGGTATTCGTATACGTATATATATATCCATATATGTATAAGGAAACGATTTGCTCCAGGGGCTGCAACGAACGGGGACCGTAGAAACAAAGAGGATTATAGGGAGAAGGTGTAAGTAGTGGAGATGGGGCGTGGGGTGGGAGGGGTAAAGTCAAATAGTAAATGCTTTCTGTAGAGAATTCTCTCTCTCTCTCTCTCTCTCTCTCTCTCTCTCTTTCTCTCCCTCTCTCCCTCTATGTCTGTCTCTCTCTCTCTCTCTGTCTCTCTCTCTTTCCATCTCTTTAAAACACCTCCCTATATCTATATCTATATCTTGCTCTAAATAGTCGACATGATATCCATAATTCGAGATTAAAGAGACATTCCACCCCTCTCTCGAAAAAAACTAATTTCTTGTTTCCCCTAATTACTGATCGATTTGCCGCCATTTGCGATGAATGTTTCCCGGGATTGTTGTATCAATTAGGACGGATCGATAGCTATTAATGTTGTTATGTGGTCGGGACGACAAAGGGAATTTTGACCCCCGATCATTAACATGTCCACCATAAGTGGGCGGACTGAATTAATTTAGTAAACAACATGTATTCTTACAAATGCAATTTAAGGATTACTGCACAATCACACTTGATTATTTTTTTCGTCGTGTGTCATTTTAATAGCATGCCGTTCTTGTATACAGCACATGTCACATTTGTATACACCGTTTCAGTGCACTACCGAAAGACTTCGAATTTATTACCAGATACAATAAATTATATAACTGCTTTCCTACGCTGATAGCCTTTTCCTCTCAGAATCTTGGATTATAGATTTTTAAATTATCATTAGATATTCTTATCGCATTTGAAGAGTTATATTTATACATTCCTGGCATTGGAGAGCTATATCAAATACCTGTCAAAACATCGGATATTCTTTATTGTAAAAGACAAACATAATCTTATGCTAATTTGATCACTGTTATCAATACATTTCAAATGGTTCGCAATTAAACGAATTTGATTTATCTCATCAAAATCCTCGAACAGACAACTATT